CGTTCTAGATCTCATTCTTGCTGTCATTCTTCCAATTTGTCTCTCTCTTTCTCACGTTCCTGATCTCACTTTCGTTCTAGATCTCATTCTTGCTGTCATTCTTCCGATTTTTCTCGTTGTTTCTCTCGTTCCTGATCTCGCTATCGTTCTTGCTCTCATTCTTCCTATTTGTCCTTCTCTTTCCCTTGTTTTTGATCTCGCTTTCCTTCTTGATCTCATTCTTCCTTTTTGTCTCTCTCTTTGTCGCGTTCCTGATTTTGCTCACGTTCTAGATCTCATTCTTGCTATCATTCTTCCGATTTGACTCGCTCTTTCTCAGGTTCTTGATCTCGCTTTCGCTCTTGATCTCATTCTTCCTAGTTGTCACTCTCTTTGTCTCGTTCCTAATGTTGCTCACGTTCTAGATCTCATACTTGCTGTCATTCTTTCGATTTGTCTCTCTCTTTCTATCGTTCCACATCTCGCTTTCGTTCCTGCTCTCAATCTTGCTATTTATCTCTCTCTTTCTCACGTTCCTGAACTCACTCACGTTCTAGATCTCATTCTTGCTGCCATGCTTCCGATTTCTCTCTCTCTTTCTCTCGTTCCTGATCTCGCTTCGTTCTTGCTCTCCTTCTTCCTATTTGTCTCTCTCTTTCTCTCGTTACTGGTTTTGCTCTCGTTCTAGATCACATTCTTGCTGTCATTCTTCCGATTTGTCTCTCTCTTTCCCTTGTTGTGGATCTCGCTTCGTTCTTGATCTCATTCTTCCTGTTTGTCTCTCTCTTTCTCTCGTTCCTGATTTTGCTCACGTTCTAGATCTCATTCTTGCTGTCATTCTTCCGATTTGTCCCACTCTTTCTCTTGTTCCTGATATCGCTTTCCTTCTTGCACTCATTCTTCCTATTTGTCTCTCTTTTTCTCACGTTCCTGATCTCACTCTCGTTCTAGATCTCATTCTTGCTGTCATTCTTCCTATTTGTCTGTCTCTTTCTCTAGTTCCTGATTTTGCTCTCGTTCTAGATCTCATTCTTGCTGTCATTCTTCCTATTTGTCTCTCTTTTTCTCACGTTCCTGATCTCACTCTCGTTCTAGATCTCATTATTGCTGTCATTCTTCCTTTTTGTCTCTCTCTTTCTCTCGTTCCAGATCTCATTCTTGCTGTCATTCTTCCGATTTGACTCGTTCTTTCCCTCGTTCCTGAACGCGCTTTCGTTCTTGATGTCATTCTTCCTATTTGTTTCTCTCTTTCCCTTGTTGTTGATCTAGCTTTCGTTCTTGATCTCATTCTTCCTATTTGTCTCTCTCTTTGTCTCGTTCCTGATTTTGCTCAAGTTCTAGATCTCATTCTTGCTGTCATTCTTTTGATTTGTCTCTCTCTTTCTCACGTTCCTGATCTCACTCTCGTTCTAGATCTCATTCTTGCTGTCATTCTTCCTATTTGTCTCTTTCTTTCTCTCGTTCCTGATTTTGCTCTCGTTCTAGATCTCATTCTTGCTGTCATTCTTCCTATTTGTCTC